AGTATATTTGTTATCATCACCTGACTTTTGATATTTTATAAACTTATTTTGATAACCTAAACTCATAAGATTTGTTTATTTGTAGATAATTAAATTTACACTCAAATTATAATTCGACAGGACTATAGTCAAGATGTCTAAAAATAGTCTTCCTTTAGATTTGAATAAGAAACTATGGGAATCAAATTTGGTGAGCTTTGAAAAAGCCAAAAATTCAAAAAAGTATGCAAAGATTGTTGACAGTCTTGATCAAATGAACAAAATGCCAACAGAACAGCATATCCTGGACAGATTTAAGTGATTGGCTGCAAATGTGAAAAGTAGACAGGAGAGAGTTGTGATAGTGATCAAAGAAGTAAAAATCTTATGGAAAAAACTGAATCTTCCAATTCAAAAAGGCAAATCTACAGTGGAAATAAAAATTGAGAATGTACTAAACAAGTATGAAAAAAACAGTAGAAAACCAGGAACGCAAGACTTTACCAACTTGTTCAACGTAACTGATGAAAATGGAGAATAGTTGTGTAGGAAGATAAAGCCCTCTATAATCTTCAGATGTCAAGAAATGGTAGAGCTGGCTACTGCACCACAATTGAAGATACACAAGGAGTTCATCCTAGAAAACTAAAGTTGATTAAGCAAAAAGTCAGTCAAGATACTAAGGATGATTTAAACAGTGAAGATGAAGAACAGCAAAGAGTCAGTCAAGATACTAAGGCTGATTTAAGCAGTAAAGATGAAGAACATTTTAATACTGAAGAAGAAAAACAAGATTCTGACAGTGGTTCTCAAGATTCAGATGCTCTGAAGGAAGAAGAAACTGTTTGGAGAGATGATATGGCTTTCCTTCATCACTTGATCACTTGTTACAGACAGTTTAAGAAAACAGGATGCTTCCTAAAGTAAATTTCAGAACTTTGCCAAATATAAGCAATGCAAGATAGAATAGCCGAGCAATCTATGCTTTGCTAGCTTATATTTTATTTCCAGAATTTTGACAGTCAGCCGAAGGTCAGTCATCATGTGACTTTATTACTGGCACGTGGAGTGACATCTGGTTTTCTGGTCAGGTTTATAATCAGGATAACTACAATAATTTGGCAGCCGTTTGCAAAGATCAAAGGACTTTTTGGTCGGTTGAGCCGACTCCAATCTCAACTCAAAGGTCAAACATTTGTGCTGAACGTGCAATTAAAGTTCTGCAGAATTTACTTCTGTATGTTTGTATTTCTGATTAAAAAAACCATTTTGTACAATGTATATATAATATAAATTTAATTAAGGGGGTGACATTTTTTTAAAGTTGACACTTGCCATTGGATTTTTCTTGATCTTTGCATTAAAACTCCACAAAAAATAACATGGGGATAGGGTCTTTAAAAATTATCATATC